ACGACTGCGAAGTGACGTGCGACACACCCGACGGGGCAGGACGCGAGGGGGGGGGGGGAGGGGGCTTAAGGGTGAGGAACAACGGGGGGGAAAAGGCCTCAGTACCTCGGTGGGGGCGACTCCTGCAGTAACAGACAGACTCGTCGAACGTGGTGTCCTGAGAAGCGGAGTACTCGTTGGTGACCGGGTCGTAAATCACCCAGCTGGAGGCCCAAAGTGAAGCCAAGAAAGACGCAGGCACGAGTGCGCAGAGAGAACTTGTTCGCGCCAGGGGCGCGAACGTGAGCCAGAGAACCCCAGACACGGAAGTCAGCTGCTACTCCCGGAGAACCTGTCCAAAGGGAGACCATCGTCACCCGTGGCCGTGTGTCGCTGGGCCACAGATTCAGTTGGTGTGCGCCGTAGCGGACTGCCTGAGGCCACAAGAACTGTGGGGCACCGGCATGGCACATGGAGGTCCGGGCAACCTCCCTGACCAGGCCGATGCGTCGCTCGGCTACCCCGTTCTGCTGAGGCGAGGCTGGTAGCGTGTAAGACTGGATGATCCCCTGACACTGACAGAACGTCTCCAGGCGAGTGGAAGAAAACTCACCACCACGGTTCGAGTGCAGGCGGAGCCCACACAGGCCCTGGGCGCCACCCCTTGCTAGTAGCCACGGCTCGAGGACGGTAGGCACGTCGGCCTTCCGTCGCAAAGGGAAAACCGTGGTGTAGCGGGATTAGTCGTCCACCACAATCAGGAAGAAGCGCTCCTGACGTGGGCCAAGGACCGGGAGGGGCCCCAGACGTCCAAGTGCAGGGTCTGTAACGGAGCTGTGGTGGGGGGGAACGAGGAGGAGTGAGGGGCAGCGCGCTGCCGGCCCTCGACGCAAGGAGTGCACGACGGCACAGTCGAGCGGGGGAGCGGAGCGAGCGACTCTGGGAGACCTGAGACCAGACGGTGGCGTACCATCCTACTAAGACGCAGGAAGGACGCGTGCCCTAGACGGTGGTGCCAGAGGACCGACAGGTGGGTGAGTGACAGACAGTCGCACGACACAGCAACTACGTGACCTGACCTGACCTGAACCAGTGTGTAACGAGTACAGTCCAGAGCCTGGCTCCCTGTGAAAAGTGGCCAGTGGCTGGCCAGTGGCACCGACTGTGCAGGAGGCAACGGGCTCGTCTAGAGGGAAAGTGGTGACAAATCCGAGGTTGTGGAGGTGACTGACACCCACCAAGTTCCTAGAGAATGAGGGGGTGTAGTAACCTATGAGAAACCCAGAGGGAGCCACCGGACACGTGAGAACGGTGGTGCTGTGGGCAACTACAGATCCCACAGAGGGGTCAGCCAAGGCTACAGTGACTGGAGTGTGCAGTGGTGTAAGGTCGGTGCAGTCGCGAAAGAAACAGTTGGACGCTCCCGAGTCTAGGGTGAAGGAAAGTTGTGCAGTCGGTGAGGTCGCACCCAAGCCAGCGACAAAGGCTGGTACTAAACTAGTGGTAGCTGCAGCTCCCACACTAAGAACCTCTGAGGCGCCTGGACCGGAGACTACACACGCGCCAAGAATGGAAACACAAGTCTCAATAGCAGCTGCACCTCCCACGTACCGGTGTGTGTACTGGCCAGGTCCGTCAGGGCCCCGCGGTGGAGGTTGTCGCAGGCGTTGCAGCTGAACCCGCCACTTCTGTTGCTGCGGCCACCGGTGCTGCTTGTAATGATGTGATGGCGCAATGATCATGATGTGGTAGTCTGATGATCATGATGTGGTGGTGCGGTGGTGTGATGATCATGAGGTGGTGGTGTGATGACCATGATGTGATGGTGGTGGTGCAATGCACAGTACGAGTTGATAAAGGGGTAATCATTAGTTATCCTATGAAATTTGATGTAAAAGTTGCTCCCTCCTCTCCCCTTTTCCACAACTTCCGCTCCTCCCTCCCTCCATTCGTCTGACCCTTTTCCACGAGATTGATTTTGAGAATTCTCAAAAGCAACCCCATTTGTCTGATCCCCTTTTCCCCTTTTCCCCTTCCGTGCAATGCCCTCTTCTCAACCTCTCCTACAACCCACCATCTGAATCCGACATGCAGCGAGAATAGACCCTGGTACGGTGCATGCTCTTTATAATGCCACGCCACATGCCACGCCACATGCCGCACCACATGCCAAGCCACAGACAAAGGTTACTGATCCAAGTATCCTACCTCCACCATTTACCTGCCTCCCCTAACCCTCGACTCCTTCATCCATAATGCAACTACACTGGTCTCCATTCTCATGCCGTGTCGAACACAGAGGCAACAAATTTCATTTGCCGCTAGTGGATGTTCCTCATCCCTCTTCACCATTCTCCCTCACTCTTCTCCTTCCCCCCACCCCTCCTGGATGCCCTTCTTCCTAACCATCCCTCCCTTTGCTGCACTGCCCATTTTCCCACCTCTTTGTCTCCTGTCCATGTTATCTCTCTCATTCACCTCTCTTTTGTCAACGGGAGTTGTGTTTGGCCCCGTCCTCTCTTGGGCGGAGCCGACCTTGTGGTCGGGTGTGCGGGAGGTGCAGCCGACCTGCAGTAGTGGGCGAGCTGATCGACGGGGCTGGTCGACTTGCACAGGGGCCACTGCAAGGGCGCCGACTTCGAGAGATCGACCTGGGAGGTCGACGTGTGGAGGGCGTCGACTTGGTGACGCCGACTTGGGGAAGCCGACTTGGGTGGTCGGCTGACAGGTGTGCTGGTCGACCTGGAGTGTGGTCGACCTGGGGCTGGTTGATGAGGTGCGCGGTCGACTTGGTGTGGTCGACCAGTGGTGGTCGTCGACCTGCGTGGTTGACGGGCACAAGGAGGTGCTGGTCGACGTGGTGGTTGCCCGGTCGACCAGGTTACCCGGGCGACTGGGTTCTGCGAAGGACTGCGACGGTCCCCCAGGTGGTTCTGGCGAGGCCAACCTTGGTGGTGGTATCCTGAGGTCGACGTGTAGGATCAGATGTGCAGTCGTCACCACGCGGACGATTTGGTGTGTGCGCTGTGCAGGTGACAAGACACCACCCTCCAATCACCTGCGAGCACCTGTGAAGCGGGTGCGCTGCTGTCCCGTGGGTGCGACGCTGTGGAGCCGCCTTGCTGCAACGTTGGCACGCCGTCGACTTGCAGTGTTGGCAGGCCGCGTCCTTGCACTACTGGAGCGCGGTCGACCAAGTCGTGCTGGAGCGCGGTCGACCGTGCTGCGCAGGCAGTCGACCGACTAGCAGCCTAGCTTCTGATGTAGTTGTTGTTGCCTTGCCATTGTGTATCATTGTTGTGAACTTTTGCTAGTGGAACTCTTGCCAAATCTCCCTGTGAATGAGCAAGTAGTGAGAGCACAAGTAAACGACTAAGGAACGAATGCAGAGATCACGTTTACACTCGTGCCTAGCCCGTGGACTAGCTCCCGTTGGACGAGTTATCTCCGCATGGTGCGGTGAGCGTGGACGGCACCGCGACTTACCTTCTGTCTAGTCGACTTAGTTCCACTTACCTATCGTGTTCGTAGGCCGGCAGCTGTGCGCTAGTCACCATGGTGGTCGCCGTAGGTGACGCTGGTCTAGTGGACACCTTGGAGGCACGGCTGGAGGATGCGAGGAGCCGCCACCTGGATGGCGAGTATGGGCCTAACCTCCCCTTGGCAGTCGTCGAGGCAGGCATCCATGCCGTGTGGGCTGCGGATCACCCTTCGCGACCAGCCTCTCCTCGACCGGTGAACAACGAAGGCGGCGTCGACGTGGGCGTCCACGTCGGTGACCAAGTTGGCAGCAGTGCGGGAGGCATGCCGAGGCATAGAGGAGTGATTCATGCCGATGAAATCGGCGGCGTTCAGACGCGAGGGCTGCAATCGTTGGCGGCTGCGGGCTCCTCGTACGGCGACGTCGGAGGACGTCGAAGTAGCGTGCCGCCGGTGCCGGCGACCCACGTGACTGTGGGCGGGATAGCGCCGAGTTACGACTACTTCAAATTCACGTCGGACAGGATTGCCGTTAGCCCTCTGCTAGTTGGCCGCCCCGACATCCTCACGTGGAAGGAGGCCATCGAGCCCCAGCTGGAAATGGCCGGGCTGATGTGCTTCGCCGCCGGCACCGTGGCGACACTACCGGAGAGCAACCCCGAGCTGCAAGCGAAGTTTCGCGTCGTGCAGCTACTGACCTTCACGGTCATTCCACGGTGCTGCTCGCCGGGCGTGCAGATCGTTTTGAAGTCGTGCAGGGACTACTTGGATGCTGGCCACCAGGCGTGGCACTTCAATGAGTCGACATACCAGGTCACCGACGACCTGTACATCGGCCAGCTCGAGGAGCAGATGACGCATCTGCGGATGGGCGACCAGGAGACGGCGACCGATGTTACGATACGATCTGAGCTGGTAACCGGGTTTAACTAAGGGCCTAGGCTTAGAAGCCTAGGCCAAGCGGGTATCGAGGGAGTTGTGCCAAGAGAGAATCGAGAATGATTGTGGTTCACTATAGCACACAAGGTACATATAGCAAACTAGCAAAGGTGCACCACCAACAACAAGGAAACATAACTACACTAAAGCTAAAGCTACAGGCAGTTATAAGCATATATAAATATATATCGCGACACACCCCTTTAACTGCCTGCAGCACATAGCTAGAGGAAGTCACACCCCTTGAAGGGGTATTGCAGGCGCAGTGAAAGACGGCAGAGAGGTAAGTGAGGAGGAGGAGGCGAGAGAGAGAGAGGATAGGAGAGGAGATAAGAACAAAGGAAGAGGTGAATGAGGGATGAGGAGAGGAGGTCGGGGGGTGGCCGTGGCGTCCCCTCTTACTAACCCCCTTTTACGAAGGGGGGGTTGAGTGGGGGATGAGGAGAGGAGGTGGGGGGGTGGCCGCAGCGTCCCCTCTTACTAACCCCCACATCCCCACCCCCAATCAACCAACCCCCTTTAACCTCACCCCCCATTTCAACCGCCCCCTGGAACCGCACTCCCTCCCCCTCTTTCTTCCTCCATACCCCTCCCCACCCACGATGATCCCTGTTCAGTCCTTCACAGGTGGGGTTGCTGGTCACAGGTGGGGCTGCTGGTCACAGGTGGGGCTGCTGGTCATAGGTGGGGCTGCTGGTCACAGGTGGGGCTGCTGGTCACAGGTGGGGCTGCTGGTCACAGGTGGGGCTGCTGGTCCTGGTGCCTGGTGCTGGCGTGACGGCGCTGGTGCTGGTGCCTGGTGCTGGCGGCTGGCGCTGGTGCTGGTGCCTGGTGCTGGCGTTGGCGCTGGTGCTGGTGCCTGGTGCTGGCGGCTGGCGCTGGTGCTAGTGCCTGGTGCAGGTGCTGGTGCCTGGTGCTGATGGGGCGCGACGGGTGGGACGAGCTGCAGACGGGCTACAGGCTGGGCGGGATCTGACGGTGGGAGGCGCGCAAGCGCTGGTGCGATCGCCGGTGCGCTGGCGGTGATCGCTGGTGTTCCGCCGCCACTTCCTTCCCCCTTTTCCTCTCTCCCCCACAGCATTCCGCCGCCACTCCCTTCCCCCTTTCCCTCTCCCCCCCATAGCGTTCCGCCGCCAATCCCTTCCCCTCCTCCCTCTCCTACCCACAGCGACCGCCGCTGCACACGCGAACAGTCGCGACGGGGGGGGGTGACGGGCAGGGGGCCGGGGGAATGCGATGGGCGGAGCGAGGCGACGGGAGGGAAGAAAACGGGACGGGGGGGGAAGGGCCGCGACGACCGCCACGGACGCCGTCCCCTTCATTCCCGATGCCCCCCCCCCCCCCCCCCCCCCCCCTTCCCCACTCTCGCGCAAACTCGGCAGCAGGCGTAGGCGCGGGCAGAGGTGGTGACGGGGGGGAAACGCGACGGGCTGATGACGAGGGAAACGCGACGGGCTGGCGACGGGGGAAACGCGATGGGCTGGCGACGGGGGAAAACGCGACGGGCTGGCGACGGGCAGGCGACGAGGGAAAAAACGACGGGCTGGTGACGACGGAAACGCGGCCGGCTCGCCGCCGCGCCCGTCGCAGCGAGCGCCGTGCCGCGAATGGGTGGGCCCATTAACTTAGGTCAGGATTTTAATCGCTCAATACCATGTTACGATACAATCTGAGCTGGCAACCGGGTTTAACTAAGGGCCTAGGCTTAGAAGCCTAGGCCAAGCGGGTATCGAGGGAGTTGTGCCAAGAGAGAATCGAGAATGATTGTGGTTCACTATAGCACACAAGGTACATATAGCAAACTAGCAAAGGTGCACCACCAACAACAAGGAAACATAACTACACTAAAGCTAAAGATACAGGCAGTTATAAACATATATAAATATATATCGCGACAACCGATTACTGCAACCGGGCTCGGTGACTTCTTGCCACCATGAGTATGGCTGGCGTGCAGTACTCGACGGCGTCATACGTCACGCATGTCCTGAAGGGGCTCCCGAGCAGCTACAACCTGATGAAACGGCTGTCGGTGGTGCCAAGCACGCGGGCGTCGCTCAACGAGGACACCCTGAACTCGTACATCCTCAGGGACGAGGCGATGCAGGAGGCCGAGCACTCCTTGGAGCTCCTGCCGCAGGTGAACTACGCGGCCCCGGCGAAGCAAAGTGGTCGACCGGGACAGCGCGGGCAGTCTCGCGGCAGTGGAATTGGTGGTGGGAGGCTGGCCAAGGACGCCGACAAGAAGAAGTCGACCCGAATTGGCGGTCGAGGAGGAGGAAGTCGACGTCGGGAGTGCTGGTTGTGCCACAGCCCCGACCACCTCTCCTTCGAGTGCCCCGACCGCAGTGACTCCGACGACGACGACACCAAGGGAGGCCGAGGGAGCTCGGCCGGGCGTCATCCTTGTCGGGAGAGCAAGACGCGCAAGGCGAAGCAGTTGACCAAGTCGTCGACCTCGGCGAAGGACGCCGACTCCTCCTCTGGCGGCAAAGGGCGGGGTGACCAAGAAGCGTCGTGCTCGCTGGTCGGCGTCGTGGAGCTGACTATCTCGCTGGCGCCGGAGGCCGGCGAGGACTTCCAGGCGACAGTGGCTGCTCGCACCACCTGATGGGGACGAAGGAGGTCTTCGTCGACCTGCAGCCGAGCGGCGACGTCAAGCACGTTCGCGACTTCAATGGGGCGCTGCAGGACGTCCAGGGCCGGGGCACAGTCGCCTTGCAAAGGGAGGCCGGGAAGAGGGTGCTGATCCCCGATGTGCTCTACGTCCCGGGCGTGCATGCGAACCTGCTGTCGGCCGGCCATCTGAAGGAGACCGGGGTGAAGCTGCAGGAAGACGGTGACGGAATGCTGCTCGTCTCGGCGACGGGGGAAGTACTCGGTCGTGCGTCCTACACCGGCCGGGTCCTCTGCACCGACTTGCGTCCCTGCTCGGCAAAGTCGACAACGCCCACAGCAGAGGTGGTGGCTCTGCGGGCGATCGTCTCGGCGACGAAGTCGACACCGCCCAGGTGGCACGCGAGGCTTGCGCATGTCGCTGTCAACGCCATCACAAGCTCGGCGAGGACAGAGGTCGCCACCGGCCTGGACATCAAGCCGTCGGCCGGCACCGATTCAAGCCGTCGGCCGGCACCGATTCCCCGTGTGTCTCGTGCGTCGGCGAGAAGTTGGCGTGGCACACCTTCCCCGACGAGGGCTCGAACGCCGAGGACGCCCTGGCCGTCGTGCACATCGACCTGTGCGGGCCGTTGTCGGTGGCTGCCAAGGACGAGAGCCTGTACTTCCTCCTGCTGAAGGACCGCACCACCCGCTACGTGTCGGTGAGGCCGGTCTCCAAGAAGTCCAATGTGCTGCGGAAGTTCGCGCAGTGGCTGGTGGTGGTTGAGCGGCAGGCGAAGAATTCGGTGCTGATGCTGCGCTCTGACCGGGGAGGGGAGTTCCTCGGGAAGCAGTTCACCGACTTCGAAGACGGAAAGGGGATCGTCCACGACTTGACCTGCCCGTTCACCCCGCAGCAGAATGTTCACCCCGCCATGGAGGAGGAGATCCGCAGCCTCATTGGCATGGGCACCTGGGAGCTGGTCGAACGCCCACCCGGGGTGAACACCATGAAGAACCGGTGGGTACTGACAACGAAGTACCACATCGACGACACTGTCGAGCGAGAAGGCGAGGCTGGTCGTGAAGGGCTTCACACAGGTGTATGGCGCCGACTACGATGAGACGTACGCGCCGGTGAGCAGCTACGTCACGATGAGAATCTTCCTCAGCATCGTCGCCGTCCTCGACCTCAACCTGATGCTGCTCGACATGAAAAACGCTTTCCTGCAGAGTAAGCTCGACCGGGTGCTGTACATGTACCAGCCGGACTACATTAACAACGAGACCGGCTGGGTGTGTAAGCTGCTGAAGAGGCTCTACGGGCTGAAGCAGTCGCCGCTGCTGTGGTACAGGGCTCTCGATGGTGTGCTACTGGGCGCTGGCTGGAAGAAGAGCCAGGTCGACACGGCGCTCTACTTCAAGGTCGGCGGGGATGGCGTGGCCTGCTGGGTGCTGGTCTACGTCGACAACCTGCTTGCCGCCAGCAGCAGTGCAACGATGCTGAAGGAGCTAAAGGAGCTGCTGGAGGCCGCCTTCGAGCTGCACGAGATCTCGCCGGTGCAGAAGTACCTCGTGCTAGAGATCGTTCACGACAGGCCGGCAAGGAAGCTATGGCTGCACCAGCAGGGCTACGCCGACAAGCTGCGCAGGCGGTTCATCGACGGGGAGCAGACTAGTCGCACTCCGAAGACGCTGATCTTCGTCGACACCTACGCCGAGCTAACGTTCGACGACGAAGAGGCCCAGGAGCGCCAGGAGGAGGAGTACCGGCAGAAGGTCGGCTCGCTGCAGTTCGGGGCGACGACGACGAGGCCGGACATCGCCTTCTCCTGCAACAAGCTGGGCAGTGGCCTCACGGTGAGGAGCGACTAGCACTGACGCGAGGTCGACCGCTGCCTTGCCTACCTCGCCAATACGCGTGACACCGCCATGGAGTTCGGCGGTGGACCAGAGTCGCTGAAGCTGGTCGGATACGTGGACGCCGACGACGCCGGCGACAAGCAGAACCGGATGAGCACGGGCGGCTACCTGTTTGTCTACGGAGGGGCCGCGGTCTCCTGGTCGAGCCAGCGCATCAAGTGCGCGACGTTGTCATCGACCGAGCCGGAGTACGTGGTGGCCTCCGAGGCCGGCAAGGAGGGACGCCGCCTTCGCTTCCTCCTTGCAAAGTTCCAGCAGCCGGACGCCGGGACGCCGACTGTCCTTCGGGGGGACAACACGTCTGCCATCACGGTCGCCGAGGGCTTGGGGCTGCAGGGCAAACTCAAGCACATGGAGCGACGTCACGCCTGGCTGCAGGACATGGTGAAGCACGGGAAGTTCACGCTGAAGTACATCCCGACTACCGAGCAGCCGGGCGACTTCCTGACGAAGACGCTGCAATATCCGGCCTTCAACCGGTGCTCCGTCGCAATCGGCCAAGTGTGCCTGGCCGACGTCGGTGACAGTGACGATGACGTGCAGCAGTAGGTGCCATGCCCTCTTTCATAGCTGGTGCGGTGACGGCGTGCTGTGTGTTGGGTGCATGCTGACGGGCTATCCTCCGAGTAGTGCTGACGTGTGGGCTGGGGGCCCAAGCGTGAACGCGGCAAGGGAGTGTCAACGGGAGTTGTGTTTGGCCCCATCCTCGCTTGGGCGGAGCCGACCTCGTGGTCGGGTGTGCGGGAGGTGTAGCCGACCTGCAGTAGTGGGCGAGCTGGTCGACGGGGCTGGTCGACCTGCACAGAGGCCACTGCAAGGGCGCCGACCTTGGGAGGGCGCCGACTTCGAGAGATCGACCTGGGAGGTCGACCTGTGGAGGGCGTCGACTTGGTGACGCCGACTTGGGGAAGCCGACTTGGGTGGTCGGCTAACAGGTGTGCTGGCCGACCTGGAGTGTGGTCGACCTGGGGCTGGTTGACCAGGTGCGCGGTCGACTTGGTGTGGTCGACCATTGGTGGTCATCGACCTGCGTGGTCGACGGGCACAAGGAGGTGCTAGTCGACGTGGTGGTTGCCTGGTTGACCAGGTTACCTGGGCGACGGGGTTCTGCAAAGGACTGCGACGGTCGCCCATGTGATTCTGGGGAGGCCGACCTCGGTGGTGGTATCCCGAGGTCGACGTGGAGGATCAGATGTGCAGTCGTCACCACGAGGACGATTTGGTGTGTGCGCTGTGCAGGTGACAAGACACGGCCCTCCAATCACCTGCGAGCACCTGTGAAGCGGGTGCGCTTCTGTCCCGTGGGTGCAACGCTGTGGAGCCACCTTGCTACAACGTTGCACGCCGTCGACTTGCAGTGTTGGCAAGCCGCGTCCTTGCACTACTGGAGCGCGGTCGACCAAGTCGTGCTGGAGCGCGGTCGACCGTGCTACGCAGGCAGTCAACCGACTAGCAGCCTAGCATCTGATGTAGTTGTTGCCTTGCCATTGTGTATCATTGTTGTGAATTTTTGCTAGTGGAACTCTTGCCAAATCTCCCTGTGAATGAGCAAGTAATGAGAGCACAAGTAAACGACTAAGGAACAAACGCAGAGATCACCCTCACACCCGTGCCTAGCTCATAGACTAGCTCCTGTTGTACGAGTTATCTCCGCATCTTTCCCACCTCTACACTTGAAGTTATTTCTCAGAGTCCTCAAAGGGACCTCATCCGTTCTCTGTCTGCCGCTCCGCAAGTAGTGGTCGCCTTCAACCCGCTTGCCTGGTCCCGCTCTGAAGTGGTTTGATTCCCAGTATGAGTTCAAGGGGAGAAAGGGCAGTGTAAGTGCAACGCACCACAGAATCTCCAATTGGTTCTTTCCTTGCCTCGC